AATTGGCCGATAGTTTGACGCAAGCGATCTATCTCCTTTCTTAAAAACTGATATCACATTAGCAACTTTCCATAACTCTGGCACTCTGCCTGACTCTATTGATTTATTTAATATGGTAGAGAGTGGGTCGAAAAGCTCCTCTTTGCATCCTTTAAGCACCCTGGCAAACACTTCATCTGGCTTTGGAGATTTGTTTGGTTTGAGTTTTACTATTTGTTTAAGAACATCCTCACTGGTAACTGCTAAACTCGTCAACCTGTCCTCGTCCCCACCCACTCAGACTTGTTCGGCTAAAGGCATATTGTTAAGTTCCTCTTTAGTAAATACAGATACAAAATATTTATTAAAAATACTACTCATCTCTTCTTCACTATCTGTTATTTGACCTGTCTCAGTTTTTAATGGACCATTCCTTTTCCTAATCTTTGTCCGGTATAACTGGAAAAACCCTTCAGGATTTGTCTTCGCTTGCTCTGCTATGCGAACTTTATAGTTTCTTTTTGCTTTCCTTATCTCTCTTTTAGTATTTCTAACAAGTTGTATGAATTCTTGTTCAAAACTGACTTCCCCATTCTTAATCCTTTTGTACCACGCTCTCTTTTTACCTATAAGGTTCTTCAGATCCTTTGTTATCCACTTTTGATCATTAGTATTCGATCTATTCAATTTATATGGTATACTACGTTCCTGGCTTTGCTTAGAATATTTTTAAATAGGTATATATTTTGAATCCACATCGAAAACCCCTTTTACGTCACCTATCGGCTGGATCACGTCTAGCTCCAATACCGGCCCACACCCCATACCCAAGACTTTCCCAATCTATTTGACCCAAAAAATTTCTTAGGCTATTGAAAAGCGCTTTTCGAAAATCAGACACTTTAACAGATTTTCCTCTCTACATTCGAGATATTCCATTGAATGCTAAATCTGATTTTTCTTTATGATCACTGTTTCCCTAGCTCCCTCCCTATTTCCATCTCCTTAATTTGTGTTTCCCCTGTTAGTTAACACTAAATCTAAAACATTATTTCCCCTCTTTGTTCCCCAATGTGTTTGCGTAAGAAAGCAATCATCAATTAATTCTAGAAAATCTTCTGATTCATTATTCTCTGTTTTGTGTTCAACCCATTTTATATTCCACTAAAATTAAAGTCACCCATGACATAAACACGGTTAGATCTAGATGCTCTCGATATTTCATCCCATAGATTCTTTGCTTCCATTCTGTCTAAATTTGGTGGCCTATATATAACTCCTATTATAATGTTATTTGCTTTTTCGTTTAATTCTATCCAAATAGTTTTTGTATGTGGCTCAGTTTTGATTCCCTCTTTGAGACTACATTTCAAATTGTCACTAGCATATATGGCTACTCCCCCTCCTCGTCTAATATATCTATCTGTGGGAAATAGTTTAAATCCATTTATTTGATATTCTGCTAATAGCTCTCTATTTTCTACATTCATCCACGTTTCGATAAGCACAATAATATCTACTTTTTTCTGTGCAGACAAGAGCATTTCAATCGTTTATTTTATTTCTTAGACTTCTAATGTTTGTGTAATAGTAGGCATCCTTCAGTCTCGGGAGACTATGGAGTTGCGCTCTAGTTGTCAATCCTGGTGCAGTGTCTGGTGTGACTGATGAGGCCAATCCGAGAGTGGCAGTCCATCCCACACCTGGCACAAACGAAGTCCGATTCTGGTCTGTCTTCCTGGCTACCGGCTCTCCTTCTCTGTCTCTTTGCCTCCGATTCCTTGGCAAGTGACTCCTCGAACTTGGAGAGACCTATTGTAATAGGTTTGTGTAATATACCCTAAGTATCTTGTTATTTTGAGGCTCTTCTCTTTTCCTGATCATTTTGCCAATTCTTTTCTCCCACAAACACATACTTTTATTACCTTCTTCCTCCAAATCGATTCCCATACCACTATCTACTAACAGTTTAAACCCAAACAAACGCCTCTAACCACTGGTTCCAATGAGTTCGCAACAGCAACAACCCCAGCCCTCGATAGATGCACCCCATCGCGAGCATACATTTCATTTCTTCCATAGAAGTGTTCCCAGTTGTCTATGAAAGATATTGCATTTGACTTGCAATATCTTTCCAGCCGGCAATTGACACCAAGTGCCCTCGACATCCATTCATTTCCCACTCCCTTTCTTGGAAGAATGCCACATATGATCGGGATTCCTCTCTTGCTTCTAATTCAATAGCTGTTTTATACCTCTGAATCAGTTCCTTACTCCTAACTCGACCAACATCATTTCCTCCCGCGCTAATGCAAATAACGGGATTGTTCCCATTTCCAGCCATAATATCATTCATGTTGTTTTATAATATCACCATACCAGCTCCGGGATAGCAACCCTTAACCTGTTCCCCCTATCTCTAGCACAAAACATTCTATCCAATACCTTATCTTCTGGAATCTCTCACAACTAAAGTTCGCTTAGATACTTCCTTTACTCTCTGAGGGGCCTGCGCTTCGTTGCTCTTCGTTGCATTCCCATTTGCGTGATCCACAGTCTCACCACAGCACTCGTCCTCCAATACGGCAAATGAATTTGACGTTCTTAGGGCGTCTGTAGGCGGCTTTATCAAAGTCTTCTTAAAGCCTTCTAAAGATCACTTTTCATCAAGCTACTTTAAATGTGGGAGAACTCGTGTCCATGCTATAAGCCTATACTTGCTTAAACCACAAGTGAAGATTATCAGCCCCGGAGGGGCTGATAATCTTCACTTCAGCAACTGGCACTCAGTGCCATGCTGAAGTGAGAGTTATAAGCGTGAGCGAGAGAGAGAGAGGAGAGAGTGAGAGAAAGAGAGAGAGAGAGAGAGAGAGAGAGAGAGATGAGAGAGAGAGAGGAGAGAGAGAGAGAGAGAGAGAGATAGAGAGATGACGAGAGTGAGAGACGAGAGAGAGAGAGAGAGAGAGAGAGAGAGAGAGAGTGAGAGAGCGAGAGAGAGAAGAGAGAGAGAGAGAGAGCAGAGAGAGAGAGAGAGAGAGAGAGAGAGAGAGTGAGAGAGGAGATGAGAGAGAGAGAGAGAGAGAGAGAGATAGAGGAGAGACGAGAGAGTGAGAGTGAGGAGAGAGAGAGAGAAGAGAAAGAGAGAGAGAGGAGAGAAGAGAGAGAGAGAGAGAGAAGAGAGAGATAGAGAGAGAGAGAGAGAGAGGGAGAGAGAGAGAGGGAGAGAGAGAGTAGACGAGAGAGAGAATGAGAGAGAGGAGAGAGGAGAGAGAGGAGATAGAGAGATGAGAGAGGAGAGAGAGAGAGGGAGAGGGGGGAGAGAGTGAGAGAGGAGAGAGAGTAGAGAGAGATAGAGAGAGAAGAGAGATGAGAGAGGAGAGGAGAGAGAGAGAGAGAGAGAGATAGAGAGAGAGACGAGAGCGAGGTAGAGAGGAGGGATAGCGAGAGAGTGTGAGAGAGAGAGACAGTGAACAGAGAGAGCAGACAGACCAGAGAACAGATATAGAGAAAGAGGAGAAGAGAGGTTATAGTAGATGTGATAAAAAAGAGAGAGAAAGAGAGAAGAGGAGCGACAAGGGGTGATTAATGATTCCGTGGAAAATTGGAAGAGGGAGAGAGAGGTTAATGACAAAGTTGATAACTATGGGGAAGGGATAAGAAGAAAATTACACTCGAGGAATAATGAATCAGTCCACCGCTTTGTCTCTCTCTCCCTGTTTATCTCTCTCATTCCTTTTTACTCTCTCTCACTCTCTTGCTCTCTTTTTGTTATTCTCTCTCTCTCTCCCTTTCTTTCTCTATCTATAACTTCCCCCTCTTTCTCTCTCTAATTTCTTTAACTAAGACGAGGTTCACAGGGGCTGTCAAGTGACGTACCTGGTGAAATTGCAATCAAGAGCTGTAATCCCTGCTCAGCTAAGTTGTAATCCTACCTACTCCTTGTGGCCCATATATTTCATGAGCCTGTTATATGCTTCAGTAGGAATAGCCTTTATTCATTAACAACATTAGGTAACAATCATATAAGGAAGAGGATGAGCCTGTAGCCAACTGTGTGCCAGAGCCTTCATGTGATCAGGTGACCTGATCTCCCGTGTATCAACCTGTTGAGCCAACAAGTTCCAGATGCGAGTCAGTTTCGGAGTGAATGATCGCTGATGGAGTGATGTTCTTGAGAATGGCACTTCCAGCATGAGACTGTTGAAGGTTGAGAGCCTAGTGCTACGGGTGGCAATTACTGATTGTCCACGGAGTTGGGCCAGGTGCGGAACTTTGAGAATGTTGGCCTTGTGCATAACAGTAAGACCACCAACGTCCCGACGATGTTGCAGGCTCTGATGTTCAGAAACCGTTCCCCCCAGACTTGGTCAAGACTAGAGATAAGTCTTCTTTCGCCGTACACGGGTAACTGTACCGCGTTGTGGTACACGGGTAACTGTACCGCGTTGTGGTACACGGGTAACTGTACCGCGTTGTGGTACACGGGTAACTGTACCGCGTTGTGGTACACGGGTAACTGTACCGCGTTGTGGTACACGGGTAACTGTACCGCGTTGTGGTACACGGGTAACTGTACCGCGTTGTGGTACACGGGGAACTGTACCGCGTTGTGGTACACGAGGAACTGTACCGCGTTGTGGTACACGGGGAACTGTACCGCGTTGTGGTACACGGGGAACTGTACCGCGTTGTGGTACACGGGGAACTGTACCGCGTTGTGGTACACGGGTAACTGTACCGCGTTGTGGTACACGGGGAACTGTACCGCGTTGTGGTACACGGGGAACTGTACCGCGTTGTGGTACACGGGGAACTGTACCGCGTTGTGGTACACGGGGAACTGTACCGCGTTGTGGTACACGGGGAACTGTACCGCGTTGTGGTACACGGGGAACTGTACCACGTTGTGGTACACGGGGAACTGTACCGCGTTGTGGTACACGGGGAACTGTACCGCGTTGTGGTACACGGGGAACTGTACCGCGTTGTGGTACACGGGGAACTGTACCGCGTTTTGGTACACGGGTAACTGTACCGCGTTGTGGCACACGGGTAACTGTACCGCGTTGTGGCACACGGGTAACTGTACCGCGTTGTGGCACACGGGTAACTGTACCGCGTTGTGGCACACGGGTAACTGTACCGCGTTGTGGCACACGGGTAACTGTACCGCGTTGTGGCACACGGGTAACTGTACCGCGTTGTGGCACACGGGTAACTGTACCGCGTTGTGGCACACGGGTAACTGTACCGCGTTGTGGCACACGGGTAACTGTACCGCGTTGTGGCACACGGGTAACTGTACCGCGTTGTGGCACACGGGTAACTGTACCGCGTTGTGGCACACGGGTAACTGTACCGCGTTGTGGCACACGGGTAACTGTACCGCGTTGTGGCACACGGGTAACTGTACCGCGTTGTGGCACACGGGTAACTGTACCGCGTTGTGGCACACGGGTAACTGTACCGCGTTGTGGCACACGGGGAACTGTACCGCGTTGTGGCACACGGGGAACTGTACCGCGTTGTGGCACACGGGGAACTGTACCGCGTTGTGGTACACGGGGAACTGTACCGCGTTGTGGTACACGGGGAACTGTACCGCGTTGTGGTACACGGGGAACTGTACCGCGTTGTGGTACACGGGGAACTGTACCGCGTTGTGGTACACGGGGAACTGTACCGCGTTGTGGTACACGGGGAACTGTACCGCGTTGTGGTACACGGGGAACTGTACCGCGTTTTGGTACACGGGTAACTGTACCGCGTTGTGGCACACGGGTAACTGTACCGCGTTGTGGCACACGGGTAACTGTACCGCGTTGTGGCACACGGGTAACTGTACCGCGTTGTGGCACACGGGTAACTGTACCGCGTTGTGGCACACGGGTAACTGTACCGCGTTGTGGCACACGGGTAACTGTACCGCGTTGTGGCACACGGGTAACTGTACCGCGTTGTGGCACACGGGTAACTGTACCGCGTTGTGGCACACGGGTAACTGTACCGCGTTGTGGCACACGGGTAACTGTACCGCGTTGTGGCACACGGGTAACTGTACCGCGTTGTGGCACACGGGTAACTGTACCGCGTTGTGGCACACGGGTAACTGTACCGCGTTGTGGCACACGAGTAACTGTACCGCGTTGTGGCACACGGGTAACTGTACCGCGTTGTGGCACACGGGAGTAGTAGGGTGTAAGCGCCACAGACGATTTTTTTTTCAGGTCAAATATCGTGTGTAGCGCTTAGGGGTTTTCAGGTCAAATATCGTCTGTAGCGCTTGGGGGTTTTCAGGTCAAATATCGTGTGTAGCGCTTGGGGGTTTTCAGGTCCAAAATCGTGTGTAGCGCTTGGGGGTTTTCAGGTCCAAAATCGTGTGTAGCGCTTGGGGGTTTTCAGGTCCAAAATCGTGTGTAGCGCTTGGGGGTTTTCAGGTCCAAAATCGTGTGTAGCGCTTGGGGGTTTTCAGGTCCAAAATCGTGTGTAGCGCTTTAGGGTTTTCAGGTGAATTTTGTCAGACACAGATTTTTAGAAGTTGTTAAAGTTCTTATAATTAAAAATAATGTCATTCGAGTATGGACTGTTTTGTGTGCGTATCCATGTGTACTATTGTCAAGACCGACAGACACGTGAAGCTGTGTGTGTTTATGTGTACCTGTAATTGAACTACACCCCCCTCCCTCCCCCCTTACCTCGCAATCTGTCACCTCACCTGTGTTTACTTTAGACGTCAGCCAGACACGGCCTTCAGGTCACCTCAGTAATCGTATCTTATCTTCTCCATAATAATATCTGGACCGTCCCTCTCTCTCTCTCTCCTCCTATTTCCTTACAACTATTTTCAGAGTTTCAAATAATCATAGAAGTTTATTTATATGTTTATGACCGAATTTGTAAAAAGACCATTTTCAGAGAATATTGTCTTAGATGTTTTGTTAAGGAAAACAGACAACTTAGCCATAACATTTAGTTTTATATCCATTTACGGCTATTTCACCTGTAAAGACCAAAATTGAACAGAGCCCAGTTTTAAGCTCATATTTCATCAGACTCCAATTATCAACCGAAATTCGCCAGAGTCTACTTGAGAGCAAAATTAGTCAGAGACAGTTTTTAGCTCATATTTCCTCAGAGTCCAATTATCAACCGAAATTCGCCAGAGTCTACTGGAGAGCATAATTAGTCAGAGACAGTTTTAAGCTCAAATTTCATCAGAGTCCAGTTCATGATCGAAATTAATCAGAGTCCAATTAAAGACCCAAATTTGACAGAGACCACATTTTCGCTACTAGCAGTCCAATCCCCCTGAAACTTTAAACAGTCATATTTCAGACGTAGTAAATAAGATGAAGTCAGTTACCGAGCTCCAGCTCTTGTCCCCCTGTATTTGCATATTTTCTCTATATTCAGCTGTATTCTTCACATTTTTTCCATGTTTTCTGCGTTCATTCCATGTTCTATAAATGTTCACAGCATGCTCAGTTCAAATTTTTTCTGCCGTTTTCCCCGTGTGTTCACTATGTTCTTTGTCATGTTTTTCATGTACATCATATGTTCTATGTATAACTTTTATACTCAATATTCATGTTCTCAATGTTCTTAGCTTATTCTTCACATTTTTCCATGTTTTCTGCATTCATTCCATGTTCTATAAATATTCATAGCATGCTCAGTTCAAATTTTTTCTACTGCTTTCCCCGTATATTCACTATGTTCTTATCATGTTTTCATGTACATCATATGTTCTCTGTATAACTTTTATACTCAATATTCATGTTCTCAATGTTCTTAGCTTGTTCTTCACATGTTCAGTGTTCATTCTTTGTATTCTCTGTTCCTTATCATGTCTTCATATTCTCTATAAGTTCTTATTCCCTGCATGTTCACTCTATTCATCAACTTTTTCTTACATGTTTTCTGTGTTCACTGTGTTCATTCCCCTACTTAACCTCAATTTTTTTTATGTTCTTTGTTTCTTTAAACCAATTTGTTTTCTTCCATTCACTAACTAGTTCTTTGTCAAATAATATTATACTGCATTACAGTTCCCTCAACAATTTTAGTCACCAAGTTTTTATTTGCAAAACTATGTCAAAGTAATTCTCGTAGTCAACTTAATAGTTCTACCAACCCCGTTCTTAAACAAATCTACACTTTATTCAGTTCCAAATTTACAAAAAGACAAACCTTTCTTGTAACTTCTTAACTAAAATCTTTCGCCAAATCAACTTAGTCACTTTCCTCATTTCTCAACTAAACTTATTATCCAATCAACCAAAAAATAGTCAAAGGAATCTTTCCAACACTGTTCATAACTAAACTTATTCCCTAGTCATCAGAAAATAACCGTGTTCTTCATGTTTCATTGTCATTTCATAACTAAAATTATCCATCAATCAACAGAAAAAGTCATATTCATCATTGTTCCTAACTAAACTTATTCCATAGTCAACAGAAAATAACCGTGTTCATCATATTTCATTATCATTTCTTGTCTAAAAAATTATCCGCCAATCATCAGAAAAGTCATGTTCATCATGTTTTGTCTTTTTGCTTAACTAAAAGTATTCATCAGTCAACTAAAAATAGTTACTTCATCATGTTTCCCTGTCGTTTCTTAACTGAAATATCACATCTCTCATCTGAAATAGTCATGTGTAGCCTCTTTCCAACACTGTTCTAACTAAAGCAACCTTTCACTTCGCTAAAATAGTCATATTCATCATTGTTCCTAACTAAAATTATATGACGTTAAGTAAGAAATATAGTCAAAGACACTCTTCGAGACATCAAGGACTTACTCAAAGATATCAAAGTTAATCTTCGAGATAACAAAAGACACTCTCAAACACTCAAAAATTTACTCGCATCCTCAAAGTTATTCTCAGAGTCATCAAAAAGTTAATCTCGGCCATCAAAATGCTATTCTCTAAGTAGCCTTTCGTTCATCAGAGAAACTTTCTAAGACATTTTCGTTCATTAAAGTTAGTCTCATGTCCACAAAAGTTATTCTAAGAGCTATCAAACTTGTTCTCAAAGTCATCAAAGTTAATCACAGAGTTATCAAAGTTATTTTGTAACTCACTTTTGTTCATTAAAGTTAATTTCTAGGTTATAAAGTTATTCTCAGAGTCATCTAAAGTTAATCTTGCTCTTCAAAGTTGTTCTCTAAGATGTAAAAGTTATTCTCTAAGACATCAATATTGTTCTCTAAAACATCAATGTTGTTCTCTAAGACATCAAAGATGTTCTCTAAATCATAAAAGTTAATCTCAGACATCTTCGTTCATTAGAGAAACTTTCCAATCCATCTTCGTTGACCAAAGTTATTCTCAGAGTCATCAAAGCGATCTCTAATTCACCTTCGTTCTCCAAAAGTTGTTCTCTAAGACACCTTCGTTCATCAAAGAAACTCTCCTTCTTCCATCATGTTATTCTTTAAGACATCTTCAGTCATAAAATTTCTCTCCAAATGTAACTAGTTCAGCTTTTCATACCAAACCTGCACTTCTGTTAAAACATATTTTCATAGTTGCTTTACGCTAAAACTGTTCTCTGAACTACACTGTTCAAACCTAACTTTACCTATCCTAACGTAACTTACCTTACCTATCATACCTAACTTACCTAACCTAACTTACCTACATTTACCTAACTTATCCTGCTTAACCTAACTTACCTACCTACATTACCTAACTTAACCTGCTTAACCTAACTTTACCTATCCTAACTTAACTTAACCTAACTTACCTAACTTAACCTAACCTAACTTATCCTGCGTAACCTAACTTACACAACTTAACCTAACTTTACCTATCTTACCCTAACTTAACTAACCTAACCTAACTTAACCTAACCTAACTTATCCTGCGTAACCTAACTTACACAACTTAACCTAACTTTACCTATCTTACCTAACTTAACCTGCATAACCTAACCTGCTTAACCTAACTTACTTACCTATCTTACCTAACTTACATAATTTAACCTAACTTACCTTACCTTACCTATCCTTATTTAACTTATCTTACCTATCCTAACGTAACCTAACTTGCTTTACCTAACTTAATCTTACATTCCCAAACTGATGTATCCTAACGTATCTAGTCAAACCAGACATGATCTAACTTACATAAGTATTCCTTCTTGTCTTTTGTGTTTCGTCAATCATTGTCTCATATTCATTTACTCATTTCATTAGTTAATTTCTCAAATGGTCACTTATGCATTTCAAGTGCTATTTGTTAGAGATTGGATATTTAAGCATTTCAAAGAACTTTTGTTATATATGGGCATTTACTCATTTCAAGGGATAATTTCTCAAATGGACGTTTTTGCATTTCAAGTGTTATTTGTTTAAGATTGGGTGTTTAACCATTTCAAAGGATTTTTGTTATATATGGGAACTTACTCGTTTCGAGGGCTAATTTCTCAAATGGTCATTTTTGCAGATCAAGGGTTATTTGTTAAAGTTCATCAAGTTGCCCATAAGTTGTATTTATTATGTTTGTTATCATTTATTCTTATTCCCCAACCCCTTAACCTAACCTCTTGTAATCGTAGTGTATTTAGTAGGTTCTATCATATGTTCTTATTCCCCAACCCTTTAACCTAACCTTTCAGATGTAGTTTATTGTGTTTTTGACGTATTTGTTGAATATATTATCCTTTTCCTAACCTTCCAGATGTAGTTTTGTTTCTCCTTTTTGTATATTTTTACCCAAACCCACCATCCCACTTAACCTTCTTTCCTTCTTTTACTTTGATTCTCCTACTCCTTCTAACCCTCCTTTTCTATCTCTCTCCCTTATTCTCTCTCTTCCTCCCCTTCTCCCTCATTTGCTCAAATGCTCTCTTCCTTCTCAAATTCAAGTCTTAATGCTCCCATTCTCACACCCTCACTCTCATTCACTTAGTTTTTCTTTTTCTCAAATTCAAGTCTTAGTGCTCCCATGCTCTTCCTCCCCCCCTCTCTCTTACTCTTTTCTCCTCTTTTCATGCTCTCACTCACTTGCTCTCTTGTTTTTCTCAATTTCAAGTCTTAGTAGATCTGATTCTTTACTATTGTAATTTTTTTATTATTACTAAGATAAAGAATGAACTTATATGTGAAAACAAAGTAAAAGAAGGAAAGAAGGTTAAGTGGGATGGTGGGTTTGG